CCATTGGTCAACCATTGGTCATCCATTGGCCATCCATTGGTCAACCACTGGTCAACCACTGCTCAACTGTTGGCCAATCAGAACCTGCAAGTCCTTTTTGCCCAATTGTTTTGCCACGCACCCCATTGCATCTGTGAGAAATGTGAGCGTGTGGCTCTGCAGAGCACAGCGTGGAGGAAAGACAGACAACAGCAGTGCAGCCAAGGGCCCCAGGAAGCCCCATAACCCCACGGGGCCACATGAGCCCCAGCCTGGAGATGCAGCAGGACCCCAAATCCCCTTCAGGCAGTGGGTGCAGGCAGAACCCCCCAGCCCCTCTCACCTCCCACTCTGCCTCCTCGTTGTACCGGGCCGTTTCCAGCAGCTCCTGCAACTGTTTCTGGACCAACTCCTTGCTGACGCACGCCCCGAGCGTCGTCCCGATGCATTTGTACAGAAAGTTCTGGAAGGACAAAGGGGCGTTGGGGATCTGAGCCTCCAGCATGGCTACGAGGAGCTGGGACACAGTGGGGGACAGCAGGACAGACGTCAGGACTGACTGACTGCCCCTGGATGAGCTCTTGACAAGTCGTGGGGCAGAACTGACCGCACGCACTGGAAATGGGAAGAATTCCGTTTCCAAATGCGTCCACCCACCCCAATGAACGCCCTGCTATTTTAATTCTCTCCCGACACCCTTCTCCCAGCAGCAGGAAGGACGATGCTTTGGAAAGCACCATTCGCCAGGCTGGTCCCAGTGAGGACGGACCCAGCGCCAGCCCCGCATCCGTCACCTTCTCGGTGGGGAATCCGTTGTAGCCGTTCAGCTGCCGGCACATCTCTGTCACGAAGTGGCAGATCCAACCGTTGTCCGAAACGGCTGCCAGCGTTTCCTGGAGGAGCTGGGTCACAAAACCACAGGACGGTGAAGGTTGGGAAGTTCTAGAGCTCCCACAGCCCCACCTGGCCCCCACCTTCCACCCCCACCCCCCAGACACCCATCAGTGCTGCTCACACCCCTCTCAGCCTTCTCTCCCCCAGCTGCACAGCCCCGGGGCTCTCAGCCCATCCCCACCAGGAGGGGCTCCAGGCCCCCCCATCCCCACACCCTCCGCTGGGCTTTCCCAGCACTTCCCAGTCTGCCTTGAACTGGGAGCCCAGCGCCGGGCGCAGTGCTGCAGCAGTGCCTGCAGGGCAGAGCAGAGGGGAGCAGCACCTCCCTGCCCTGCTGGCTGCACTCTGGCAACGCAGCACAGGGTCCCGTTGGACCTCTTGGCCACCAAGGTTCACTGCTGGCTCCTGGTCAACCATTGGTGAACCGCTGGTCAACCATTTGACACCTGTTGGTCAACGGCTGACCAACAATTGGTCAACCACTGGGTCAGATGTTGGTCAACCATTGGTCAACCACTGGTCAACCCTTGGGTCAACCACCGTTCAACTACTGGGTCAACCCATTAGTCAACTGCTGGTCAATCATTAATCAATCACTGCCCACCATACCTAAAGGTCCTTCTCTGAAGAGCTCCCTTCCAGCAGCTCAGCCCCAGCCTGTTCTGGTTGTGCAGTCATTCCCCACCCAAGATGGAGGCCCCTCCACCCGCCCCACGTCGAACTTCATGCTGTTTTCCTCCACCCATCACCCTTGCTGTATGTTCCCTGCTCCCAGCCCAGAAATGCACCTTTATTCCCCCTATTCCCAGGCCACGAGAAATGGCCCCAGGTCAATCCAACACCATCAGCAGAGCACCACAAGCTCCACTCGGGTTAATTACCTCTCCATGTCCTGTTTTAAGGCTCTCCAATTAAGCAGCAGACACACTACGGCCCCAGCCCGGTACATGGATCCCAAATACCAGAGCCACCCTCTCTTTGCCATCCCACCTTCGCACAGCAGTGTGGAAGCACTCACCAGCAGCAGCTCCTCCTCCCACTCCTCCAGGTGCAGCGACTTATCAGTGTTCTCTAGGAAAAATCACCTTTGTGCTCTTCCAGCCCCAAAGGGTCTCAGGCAGCCCCCAACCCCACCAAAGAAACCCCCTCCTACCCTCGATGCGCTCCACCAGCACAGGAACCCTTTTGCTCCAGAGCTGCTCCAGGGCAGGGTGAACGCTGCAGCACAACGCCTGCAGGAGCCGCAGGGCTGCTGCACCCCGACCGTCCCCGGTGTACGGCCGGGAGGACACCACCTGGAAAGGGAGAATGAGATGCCTTGGGTTGGGAGGGTCCTGAAAGTTCACAGAGCCATAGAATGGGTTGGGAGAGCCCTTGAAGGTCATAGAGGTAGAGAAGGGGTTGAGAGGGTCCTTGAACGACACAGAGGCATGGAAAACTTGGGTTGGGAGGGTCCTGAAAGTTCACAGAGCCATAGAAGGGGTTGAGAGGGTCCTTGAAGGTCAAAGAGGTAGAGAAGGGGTTGAGAGGGTCCTTGAACGACACAAAGGCATGGAAGAGTTGGGTTGGGAGGGTCTTGAAAGTTCAGAGAGCCATAGAATGGGTTGAGAGGGTCCTTGAAGGACACAGAGGTAGAGAAGGGGTTGAGAGGGTCCTTGAACGACACAAAGGCAT